TATGCCTACACGCTACAGCGCTATGCCAGGCATATATTAAAAGAGCGGAGCGTAGCTCACTCATGTTGGAGCTAAAGACCTCGACTACTGTCAGCAAGCAGTTAGAGGGAAAGGACAAGGTAGACGAACAGCATGAGTGAACCACTAGTGATGGACTGGAAGCCACACCACTGTGGTGACACAATGACTGAATACGAACGGGTGCGTTGGGAACTTTCGACCGCCCAATCGCAGTTGAGTACGTCACCTACACAAGGCCTGCCGTTTGACTATCGCCGATGGAGAGCAGCTACGTAGTGTCTGCATGGTGGGGGGGCTTGCTGTGTGGTATGGGGTAAACGTCTAGCGGGGTGTGTCTTCATGGAATCCATACATTATCACCTTGTAATCGAACTAGAGCTTCTAACGAACCAAAAGAGAGCGTGTTACTACGGACCTACGTGAATGGCCAATGGTGCGATCTACCAATCACAAAAGATAGAGGCAAAGGAATATAGGACAAACAGCCCAAGAAGGAGTAGGCGTGGGCTCAAGCTGAGCAAACAATAGCATGCTGGCCCACAAGATGCTTCAAATAACTCCATCAGACGGGGCTATTCTCCTTTGTCCCAACCCCAAAATCTACAAGGCCTTCCCCAGAACAAATACATAGGGGGACCACCTTGCGACGATTAAGCTAACATGATGCACCTACCTAGGGAACTACAAGGAAAAACGATCATACTATGGCTTTACTGATGCACCTACCTAGGGAACTACAGGGAACAACGATCATACTATAGCTTTACCGCGCATAGAAAAGCTATCTACCACTCATGTATGTGACGAGCGTCATGGACCACTACTGTATGTGTTTGCAAAGTAGCGCAGTTGGACCCGTACCGCGCAGTCCCACATTCTTGTTTCTGGCCTACCCACGATTCGAGGCTAACGAAAAGTATTCTCCTTTGGAAACCTCCACCCTCGACTACACAGAGTTCGAAGAGCGGGAACGGTCAAACAAGAGCATACGCTGCCCACGCAGGTACTTGAGGTGCTCAAAATGCTTACCTCAAGTGGTACTTCTGTAGTGTCCATATGACCATCGCAAACTACTGTGCCAGGCATGCACACAACTACACTCTGAGCAGAACTTCAAACAGCGAAACTTCGACTTTACGACCCTACAGGTTCTCAGTAGCACGACGCTCTTCGACTTACATACCTGCGCATCACGCTATGATGTAGGGGCGGTTCTCGAACAAGATTGCAAGCCAGTTGGCTTCCTAATTCAGGTCATGAACTGGCTTAGCAGAGGTATTCGACATACGGCGAAGTGGTTCTCGCCTTCGTCACTGGATAAGTATTCTCATTTATTGCATGCTGCTAGGGCTACGGCGTACACCGATCATCATGCCCTCACAAACTTGCAGCAGTGTAGTGTGTCGAAGCGTCTATGTCGCGGGACTGCTCGTTGGTTAGATTTTCCAGTGGAATTCAAGAACGTCATAACCACATCCGCAAGGCGTACACAGGCATAACCAGGCGGCAGATGCGGTAATCCACCCCGTCTACGCCTCGTGACCCTTCGGAGGCTACAATAAGTTCCCACGGCGCGATAGCTTCTCTGCCTAGAACGCTGAGAGGAGCCAGACAAGCTGTAAAGCGGTTGCACATATACGCCTGCCTCTAACCTGACAGCCCCTTAGCTTGTCACTGCCTTCAGTTACTACGAAAGGGGTACATAGGCCAAAGCGCCTAGCTTTCTGTCTGTTCCACACATTCACTCTCCGGAAGCAACAACATCTTGGGCACCTACACTACAACTGCTTGCGACGCCCACATTCCTACTAACTACAGCGACTGAGGTTGCCCTTTCTTTACATGCATGAGTCTCGGCGGACAAAAGGTGCCTGATTTTCGCGGTGCCTTTCATCGCTGCAGCTCAACAAGCTGGTGAAGCAACCAGGGTTGAGTTCCGCAACCGCCGTCTTACTTTCCGTTTTGAGTTGCCTAACCTGTGAATATATATTCACAGCATTCGGCGAATCTGCATGCCTTGCCGTGAATTCCTTACTCGCATGCTGTACAATTACCACGAACATGTCACAGCCGGCCCTCCCGGACAAAACAACGCATTCCTGTCCCACAGAAAACATTATTATCGCGTGTCTATATTGCAGCATGCGTGGTGTTCTGCGTTCAGTGTTGCGCGTATTGATCATTCGCCCAGAAGCCTGGAGTAGTCCTTCAGCTGCTGGGAATTCCCTCTCTTATCTGGAGCCAAGCCAACCTAGACGTAATACCTGATCCGCCTCACTGTCTCCGCTAATAATTCCATTTTTGTGCTTGTTGACAGTCTAAGCTCAACTTATTCCTATGAAGAAGACGTTGACAGCAGCTCACAATATTGAACTCCCTGCTGACCGCCTCACTCGCCACCATGGGTTGCCTAAAGTGATGATTTCCAAGAGAGGCATGCTGTCAGTCAAACATCTGGTATCAGTTATGCAACCGGTTCATTGTCTAGTTCTCCTCTTCTCCGTGTATCGCCGCAAAACGACGGACAAACCTCCCGAGTTTACCGGAACCTAGAGCATCCTTCGCTTTGACATTCATTCTAGGGATCGGGAGTCGAATTACATCCACGCCGCTCTAGATTTCTTGCATCATATGACAAGCCAATTTTCAAGCGAACGCTGAAGTCATGATATGCCAGAAACCTCTTACTGCGACCGACCTTGATATTGTCAGCTCTGAGGCACGCACCCGAACACCGCCAATGATCGAATTGTCCCAGAAACTCTTTCACGGGGCACAGGGCCACGCTGTACGAGCGAATTAGCAACAAAAGACATACTCCAAACAGTGAGCCGTCAAGTATGCCATTAGGGACATGGTATGGCTCAGCAGCAAACATTTATCGGCAGCCAGCAGGTGCTACTAGAGAATGCATCGGCACCGTGGCATACTGTTTAGAGATGCCGCCAAAACATTGATGGACTAAAATTTCATTGTTTTACATGTTGTGCCACAGCGCTTCTCAGTGTTCATCTGGCCACCAAAGAAGCCACAGTTGGCTGGATTGCAGTGCTGGAGGCAGCGTGGTATGGCGCTTTTCAAATGTTACATGTAAGAAGGCGCCCTAAAGGAAATTGTGGCCCGTTGCGAGATCATACTGTTGCTATTCCACGCTGAAACCACTGGAGGTTTCCGAGACACTGTACCACCTTCAGTTCGTTTGCCGCTCTCAGGGCGATTAGCTCCCCCCAATGCGTGTGATTTTGTGTGAGAGCCAATGTGATGCGTGTATAGCGGCTCCTATCAAATGCAACAAAACCCTTCGACACCACCTTTCAAGGCTACCCAAACTCAGAACGGCCCCAGAGCCGTAAAACTTTCAGTCGCATCCCTTTTAGCAATTTCGGACACATTTCACTCTTTTTCCAAGGTCCTTTTCATCTTACGCTAACAGTATTACCCTGCACGCAAGGGAACAAATATCGCATATTTTGCAATAACTGCAGAGATTTTCATCAAAGCACCGTAACCTCTGAAACATAGTGTTTCTGAAAACTTGCCACGGTTTTCTTCCCGTAAGAATAACGTCGGCTCAACAGAGGCTCTACAAAAGTGCATTTATTGGAATAGGAATACCCTTAATTGCGCCGCTGCAATGGCTCCATCGTACCATGCGCGCCTCTCCCTGCGTGTGCTAGGCAAAGCATACTATTCAACAAGCCGAAGAACAAACAAATGACGGTCCTTGAAACGCCAAGACCCACTGCGCGAGGCGCATGGCCCTTGACTTTGTTAAATAGAGTCTAATGAGACGGCTGTGGGCCGTATGCACAGAAATCTTGAAGCAACTCAGAGCAGAAGCCATTGATTCGACCCAACACTACTCCACGTTGTGGCAGGGTGCACTAGTCCAAGCAGACCAAAATGAGTGAGCCGCGGATATCTCCCTGAGTAGAGCACCTCTGACCCGGGGAGATGGTGTCACGCATTGGACTCTTTTCAAGCTAATCTCACGAACGCTACTCCGTAAAGATCTGTTCTATCTTCACGAGCGTACACGAGCGTAAACGCACAGTGTCAGCATCTACGTTTTCACTTTTGCTTATGAACTTCTATGATGCCCAACTCGGCTCCATCCCAATTCTTACGTACGTCCGAATGGATGAGGCGGAATCATTTCTTGGCCTCATCTTGAATATTGCTAACTGAATTTAGTTCTAAATACTTCTGACTCCGTCGAAGCACAAATCATGCACTACATTTTGCTGACTCATCTGCACGCCGCTTCAATTATAATGTGTGCGGGCCAAAGCTAGCGTTTGCCCTTCAAAGCTGTACAGCTGTACACTAGTCCCGCCCAATTCTTCTACTCAACACAAAGCTGATCACTTGGGCAGGTCCCAGAAGCATTCATGGGCAACGAGCGAATCGGCTGGAGCTCTTTCTGCCACGGGCCCAACAAAGGCTCGCGTCAATCTTCCCGCCCTCCAGCAAAATCGAACTGTCTGGAGAAGTCGCCCTATAAAATGTGTTGCAACAAAACAAGCTGAAACCCAATGAGGTGCAATCTACATACTCGCACTGGTTAGGCAGTGAAACGCGGCAGCAGCACCACGCACCGATTCATCTTCCGTCTGTGGACACCCTAGACACGGACAGTAAAGTCACAATAGCGAGCTGAGCAACCCTCATGGAGCTTCGACAACACCAAGCTGAAGTTTGGGCGCCGGTAAGGGCAGCAGAGCACTACTTGACTAGGTCAACAAATAGTGCCAAGCCACCCGCACCAGATGCGGCATCTCCTTGTCCCCAGCAGAAAAGCTGCCTATGGTAACTTGACAAGCTGCTGCAATAACGAATAAGATACGTAAAAGAACGATGAACTGCCAAGGTTTGCCTCCACAGTTTTTAAGGCGACTCCCTCACTGGGAAGCGCAATAAGAATCCCTATTTTCACAAAATGGCTAAACAAAGGCGTTGGCACGACAAGTAGCATTGCATCAGCTTGCACTGCTCCACTGTACTTCATCCCGCTGCGTCTCCCTTTGGCCAACAGGAGTCTGCGCGGGCCTCTCTGTAAATGCACGCCGGCGGGGAGAGGCACTCCGATCCCGTCGGCTCCGATTGCGTTTCTGTTGCTCTTGCTGTCTCAGGTCACGCCGAGCCTCCAGAGTTGATAGCCATTGCTGACGCCTCTGTTCACGTTTGGCAAAGTTCAGGGTTGCCCTCCTCCCCTCTGTACTACCAGGAGCCGACCCTCCACCATCACTCGCGCCACTGTTACAGCCGCTACCCTGTTCCCTACTATCCCAACGCCCTCTCTTGCTGGTTGACGCGCTGGTAGGCAGACAAACACTCCCGCTAGTGGCTGGGTCATCTTCCACCGCCTGTGCCGTATCTCCTGTCCCAGCCCGAGCAGCCGCCGCTGCCGCCGCTGCCGCCGCAGCAGCTGCTGCCGCTGCCTCTGCTATTGATGGTGCATTAGATGCCAATGATTTGTCAATTGGTTCTACCTGGCACCCCGTATCAAATCTGCGACCAAAAAGGAACAAGAGAAGCAAAAGTGGGAACTCATACCATCCAGTGCTAACTGCCATCACTCCGTGGAACCCCAAGAAAAAGCCACAAAGAACAGTAGCAAAGTGCACAGAACTAGCCAGATACTTCAATGAGCATACCCAAGACCTCCGAATGACGTATTCTGCTGCTGCCTTAGCTCTCGGCCCACTTTGCCCCCTTGCCAGACCACCCGAAGACCAGACAAGCGTGCCTCTCTAAAAGGTGCTGCAGAAACAGAAAGTTTTATGCCAAGCTTGAATTCTGCTGAGTTTCGCCGTACGTTTCTTCACAGCACCACGCACAGAGAGGCACCGTGGAAATCGACACAGCGAACAATAACGCAACACTCTGCTTTGAAGTTGGGTCAATCCAGAAGGCCTTTACGCATTAGAAAAAGCGCTACCATGCCGCTAAGAAATACGTTAAAAGACGTTGAGGACTTGGAGATTATCGCTTCCGGTGACCACACTTACGGAATTGCATGGCAAACTCCACTAAAGACCGTGGGACACTTTGACCGCAAGTCTGAGAAAGCCATAGAAGGATGAATGAAACAAAGTACTCAGTGGAAAGAGCGTAGACCTCCGACCTGGTTGCCGTGTTCAGCCGCAAAACTTCCACAACCAAATACATCTGGTGGGATCGACAAGGACAGCAAAACTATAACAAGAAGGGCAGCTGCCACACAGACCTCCATCTTCTCCACAACAAAGGCGGCTTGGCGTTTTTCTTGTTTTGTGAATAATGAGCATGCGAGACCCGACCGACCAGCTCTTCCCGCACGGCCAATGCGGTGTACATACACCTCCGGATCATTTGGCGCATCGTAGCACACCACAAGTGAAAGAGCTGGCGGAAAATCGAGTCCCCTCGCAGCAACATCTGTAGCAACTAGAACCAATGGGGTCCTGGCAGGGCCTGAATCTCCTAGGAAGTGATGCTGCATGCGACGCATGACGGCGAGACGCTCCCCTTGCTGCATTCCGCCGTGCAGGATCGCCACATCTAAGTAACAAAAAAGGCAACAACAGTATCGAGAAAGGCTCCAAGCATAGTAGAATAAATTGATGCACATTAAGTAGATCATGTACAGTGGCAGACTACTCACACTCGTTGTACGCCAACATGCACGATATATCAAATCTTGTCTTATGTGTAAATTGAAAAAAACTCTACAGATGTCAAACAAGCGAAAATGTGCCAAATAAACACATCAGTGCACAACCACACTGCGCCGAGCATTCATGCGAGTTCTGGTGAGCCAGAGCAGCTTGCCCGCTGGAGAGGGGCATTCATGAAAAATTTGCGAACAATGCAGCGAATGCATCGCCATTAGGAGACTGACAGGGGAAGAAAACGCCCTAAAAGCTACTACGCAGAACGAAAACGCCCATAATTACAAGCAGACGCTTCAGACGAGTGCACTTGACGTGCTGCCACACAAGGCATAGCAGAATGCCCTCCCTGCAGGCCACGGTACACTGAGAACGAGAAATGAAAGACGTCTGGATTGCTGCGACCCGAGAGACGTACACTTGAAAGTTTGATTAGTATTCCTTTGCAAGTCTTGCGAGCTTTCGCCGCGTAGGAGACGTGCAGCGGCCGCTCGAGATGCAGCGTCCCCAGAACCCCCCGAAGCTCCTGCAACTGCTGCAGCTCCTGCTGCTGCTCCTGCTGCTGTGGTGCCCGACCCACATCGCCCCTCAGTCACTATTTGCTGCTCAATTGCACCCTCAAGAAGGAATGCTAGATCCTCGACTCTCTGCTGCGAGTTGCAGAAGACGATGCCACCTGCCTTCGCCGCCGCTGCAACTGTTGTCGGTGGTGGCCGTAAGCTGTATTGTTGCTGCTGCTTTTCAGGTTGTTGAGACAGTGTGAGCAGCCCGAGCAGGTTTTTGGACAGCCAGTCAAATTTGGCTTGTTCCCCGTCCAAAATCTGTACTCTCTGTTGGACAGTGTGCGCCGCCTGTGAAATGGAAGGTGAACACCGTCACAAAGCATTGGGAACAAAGCAAGACCTGGCTCTAGTTCGTCTGACTGCGTATCCCTCAAAGCTTCTACTCAAGTCTACAGTCAAAATCTTGTGCGTACACACAGGCTGTGTTTTACAGCGCATTGCCGTGGCTACCAGCTCACCTGCCCTCCTTCGCCGACGGTTATTCGGATTGGATTGCGAAGAAACTTACTGCAAACGAAAAAGTGGCACGGACTAAAGTTCACGGCCCTTGTGAACAGGCGGCCGTGGGGCCACCATGTTATTCTGCGACGGCGAGAGCCGCACCGTGTTGAAGTCGTCAGCTGTCGAAGCACGCGCATAGGATGTATCGCGCTGCTGCTACTGCCCGGAACACTTACTTCGCAAGGGCCTCGCATTTGCGTGGCATGGTGGCGCTGAACATGCACGTGACCCTGTCTGGCCGCAACGACAAGAGGACTTCTTTTAGTTGGTTCTCAAAGCCCATTTGCACCATCTTATCTGCTTCATCCACTACCGCCATAACGACTTTCTCAAAAATGCCAGCGAGGCCTTTCAGGCTACATAAGTCTATCATACGTCCAGGATTGCAAACTACAACGTCGGGACCACGACGCAAGGCGCGGAACTGCTCGGTCTTATCAAACCCGCCAGCGACCAACAGACGACTCACAGCCACATCGGCCCCTCCTCGCGTGAAGCTATGGATCTCTCCATCCACCTGCACGGCCAGCTCCCTGGGACGTAAACAAACAAATAAAAACATAAGGTGGCAAATCTAATCTTGTTACTGGCACAGCAAAAGCGGCCACCGAAGAGCTCTCCGGTGCTCTTTCAGGTGGAGAAACAGCGCGTAATCACCAATGAAACCACTAGATATGCTATCATCGCTTTGTAGGAAGAACACTCAACGCTGCACTGCTACTAACATACTGGATTCCAAAACACAAAAAGCCTTCCAAACGTGAAGGGCTCAAGGCACAAAACGTACATAATTAACAACGCACCTGGTGGGGCATACGATAATTACTGAAGGCCCACTTCTTTGTTCCTTTGCTGATGATGGAGGCGCATGGTCGTTGGTTGCGTGGCGAGTAAGCCACTGGTCCTTGTCCTTAAGGCTGACGACGCGAGTCAACGTGGGAATGAGGTATGCGGCCGTCTTCCCGCTCCCCGTCTGAGCTACAGCCAGACAGTCACGTCCTTTCAAAAGTACTGGAATAGCCGCAGCCTGAACCGCTGTGGGCAGTCGGTAGTCACGTCGCTGCAGAGCAGACCACAGGCCCTAAAAGCAGAACGCGGAGCAAAAGCAAAACGCGGTGGAATGAAGCGTGAACTCGTTCAAAATATTCTGAAGTTCGAAACACTGACAGCAGCAAACAATACTCGACGCAACTATATTTTAAGCAAAACACGCAACAGTTCTGATGTTCACAAGCGAAGCTGGCCCTGCAGCAGTGAACTGAATGCGCAACCAAGCCAGAACAAAAGCCACAACTTTCCATGCAGCTGAATCGGAGCATGCACAGCCACAGCAATCGCATTCAAAAGGCTCCTCAATACGAGCTTCCCTCGCTTTGCCGCTGCCAGTGCTACTGCATATTTTGCGTGTTTCTGACCTTTGGGAGGGAGCCCTTAAGGTGAAGGAATGAAGCAATTGGACGAGGCGCTTGTTTGCCTGTAGTATGCAGCTGCAAGGAATCGCGGACCTCTGCAACAGCCTCTAGAGTGAGAGCTGTCACATCAGCGTGCTCTTGGTATATGTCCACCGTGTACTTGGGATAAGCGATCCTGCACACGGCCAAAGAGTCCCCACCAGCTGAACTGAAGCAAGTAATCTGAAGAAATACATTTATGTACATGGGCAGTACTTCAGTGGCAGAAGCATGACCATCTAAATGATACATATAGGCTGAGGCACTGTGAGACAGTGGCGCATACTCATCGTGGTTTACTACAGGGAGAGACCGTCCCCTCGGTTCATCCTCATCATCAGTCGCCGCGCTGCTGCTTTGTGTCTGCGCTTTTCTCTTCCCTCTAGAGGCTTCTTTTAGCTGCACCAGAACAAAAAATGCAGACCTGCAGGAAAGACAAAGTGCTCAACCCCCCGAGCTCCACCGACTCAGTCCTCCCTTCGCTCAAGCACGTGCGAACTCATGCCTTTGTCTTAGCACTCATCTACCAGCCCTCCCACGACACACTGAGATGGCTCTCTGGGCGTTGAGGTGTTCTACTGATTCAGCAGCGATGTCATCGTCATCAAAGAAACGCTCCTTGTCCGTCCTCTCCGCCTCGCCGGCTGCTTCTCGACGTTGTCTTTCTTCTATCTCAGCATTTTCGCGAAGCAGCGTTTCGTTCACACCATTCATGAATGCATCGAGCGGATCCACTTCGTCATCCTCCTGGGAATGCTGTAGCTGGTTCCCTGGAGGCGGGAGTTGGGTCGATTCGGCCGGAGCCGACCCCTTCTTTTCGGACTCGCGCTCAAAGAAGGCCTCCATATTTATGTAGAGACGTATGCGCGCGTTCAAGTTCCTTGCTGGTTGCTGTACTTTCCGCTCGTGCAGCGCTTGCTCGGTCTTGCCGTCGTCGCTGCTGTTGCCTCGGCCGCTGCTGCAACGCCATATGCTGTCGCAAGTGATGCTACTGCAGCGAGCAGCCAGTATTTTATACAAGCTAGTGACTTGGGTAGAGCCTTTGTCCCTGAGCCGATGCCTAGCCTCCGCCCTGTGGGGCTGGCGTTCACCCTTGAAAAGCCACTGCTGCCGCTGGTGATCCAGGGCCTACAAATCTGGAGGTCCCAGAGACCGACCGCCTCCAGTAATATAAAAAGCACACCAAGCAAAAAGCAAGGAGACGAGCTAGTCCCCTCCCCTATGTCGGGGAAGATGAGACCACCTTCTACCTCGCTTTTCGTAGCCTTCTAGACTGGCGGAAGCACGCGAATAAGACTGCAAAGACGTGCTGAAGTGGATTTTATTTGTCGTGTTCATGAGTTTGGAGCTCTAATAACCCGCCATCTCACTGTGGATCCTTATAATGTAAATCGTAACAATGGGGCTTGCAGCGCATGCAGCAACCGGAGGCCCGAGCAGAGAAGTGACCGTCAACTGCAACCTATCCACCCCAATTCGTTTCTTGTATGCAAGCGCCGCCTAAAAATATATGCATTGTGCGTAATGTAAGCTGAGTTCACATGTTCACCTTGGGTCTCCCACTTTGTCCATGACCTCAATACGCCTCTGAGTTCTTCTCAGGCCTCCCGTTCTGACTGCACAGAAGCTGGTGAACACTACGCTCACCCCCTTCAGCTTAACAAACGTAGCGGCCCCCAGACCAGAAGGGCAGTACAGTACTGGTATGTACAGCCCGCTGCCTCACGAGGCTGGACTACCGAAACACGAACAGGGCTGCAGCCATACGCAAGCGCTCACTTCAACACCTTAGCCCAGCTTGAACCGACCAATATGTTCCACAGGCTTTCGCTCAACTCGCTACGGAATAGAACAGTTGTGAAGCGACGCAAAGACTACACCACTCCTACGCGAGCCGTCACTATTCAGCACAAGTTTGCCCCTATAGGTTTGAAAAGGACAGCAGGCTGTCTCCGCAGAAGAGCGTTGAAGGCTCGCACACCACGCTATTGTTAAGGTGTACATGGGAGTGGTGCTCACGCCGTCATGAACGCTAACGTGACGCCCCTCCCCACTCTATTGCGAAGCTGAATGGCGATGCTTTTACGCAGTGTCCAGCGCCAGTGAGAGAAATACTTGCGGGAGCCCGGTATCATCTAAGCGCTCGGAAGGAATGGCATTTCCTCCAGGAAAACCTCAACGGGTCTCACGGTCATGGAAGGCAAGGTCAGCTGAAATCTAGACGTGTTGGGCTATCCGTGATGTTATAACAAAAATGTATCCTCACATGACTAATACAGGTCGGCCAGCCCATTCTACTGTGCACAAGGACTGCCGGGCGACCCAAACACGCCTGCGACACCGTCATGCAGCTTTGCGAGTTTGCGCAGTCCTGCTAGCATAAGCTGTTTTAAAAGCTTCCAATTCACGCTGTAAATGCTCAAGGAATTCATCATCTGGGTCTTCATCATCCCAACCTGCGCACCATATAATAATCGTTTCTCCCTTTGGCTAAGACAGTTTGTCGCACAGCTCTTGCTCTACCACACTGCCTACAATGTGATAAAGAGAGGCGTTGACCAGGTGGTTGAAACACCCAGTTCGCCGAATGAAAGCCTCCGTGCAAAATGTTATCACCTGCTGCATCCCAGTCTTCACTCCACTGCTTTAGCTCCGCGTCCACCGGCACTTCACCACCTGCACGTGCGCATAGGCAGAGCCAAAAGCCGCCTGTACTCTCCCCCTCTCGAAACATTTCCCACGAACCTCCTGCAGCTTTAATGGCGAACTCGTTATGAAGTTATCTGCCAATGGCTTCACCGGAGCTCTCTGATGTACGCTCTGTCGTGTCCCCCATCTGCGTGGACATCGTTTCCTTAGTACAGCAGGCTACTCCTGGAAACCCCCGCCACCCAACAACAACATCTCAGCGAAAAAGCTTTGACTTTGTAGTCCATTCTCCTTGCGACCACAACCATCGGGACACGCTGTATGGTCATAAAACTCACCTATCTCATCGAACTCTTCTAACTCGTCATCTGGCTCATCAAAGGCCTCCTCCTGAGTTTCTGCGCCCGTCTGCTGAGCTGGGGAATCGGTGCGCTGGGGCTCCTCCCCTGCTTCGCCCTGCGATTTCATTTGTGACGCTGAACAAAAAATAGCAATTCAACGTGCAGCGCCAATTGTCAAGAATATGTAATAGTACGATATCATGCAGCAGCACAAGTACGCAAACGTACCCACGAGAGGTGGAAATACCGGTGGAGCGACACCCCAGCCGTCTACCACGCCAGGCCGCTCGTATACCAGCCCAAAAAACCGAAGCTTGGCACTTTCACAGCACGCACAACGCTCTGAAACCGTCAGAAATATAACACGGTGGCAACAACACACTGGGCGTGGTACTTTCGCGCCAAGAGCGGCAGCGGCTGCGATCACATGCAGTCAGCGGCTAACCGTATGGTGAGATGAAAGGTCAACTTAGTTGGGCTCCCTTCTCAGTAGAAAACGGATTTTCAGTGGAGCTGCAGCCACTAAACAGACAGCCGTAGCATGACCAACGCAGACAGATGGCAGCCAGCCCCAAGCAAGTCACCGCGCCTAGCAATCCTTCGGTATGCTGAAGAGTGCAGCAACAAAATACTCGGAGAAACGAGGACCATGCAGATATTTAAAAACTCTACTGTTCGGATTTTCCACACAGGAGTACCGAATTGCTGGAGGGTGTTGTTAATTGCACATTTGTCTTAAACTGGGTGCACTCAGTACGTGTGCAAGCCTTTTGTGTAAGAGTTCCCTTGTACTACCCCAGGCTGTTTAGGGAAGGAACTATAGACACCCTGTTATCGTTACAAAAACCATGTGAGAGCAAGCCCAGCTGGCTTAGAAGTTTAGATTTCTGTGGGGTTTGCACAGTACCTTCCACTGTGGAAGGCATAGGAAGTTGCGAATACATACTGCCTTCGTAATATGGAGTTTTCTTAGAGGAACTATCTACGTGATAACTCGATTCATTGCCTTTTCCTGCATACATGTTGTGTAGGAAGCTCTGCTGCTCTATCTGGGGTAGGGTGTCTTTGAGTGCGGTACTGGCGGAGGAAGACCGGGGCCTGGAGCTCGAAATTCCAATTTTGTATTTCTTTTCTTTTTTTAGTGTTTTTGTCTGTTTTTGTCGTCCCTTTTTTCCTCTTGGACTTTCGCTAGCGTTGTAGTGTCTCCCCCCTTTACGGAAATGTCAACTGGTGTCAACTGCGTGATCCATAGCCACCACTCTTTGTAGTTCATGACCACCGTATTTTCGGAGAAACTTAGCTTGTGATCAAGTATTCGGGCCTTTGGCTCTTCTCAGTCCCGCCCTTCATGATTAAAGTAGGAATCGCCTCCCACAGCTTCGTTACTTTCGACTACTGTCGTACTAATTGAATCCTTGACGCATCCACCTGAGCCTCGTTCTGCCCACGTCCCGTTTAAAAACCAATACCTAAACTGGAAGTGAATTTATTTCTGCTTCATATTTACTACCTATGCACCACAAAGCGTTTCCACTGGTGCAAGTACGGGATAAGAATGCGTTTCTTCTGGTATTGGTGGCGCAGTCAGGTGAATATAAACAGCAGAAATCGATGTGCTATGGAAATGAAATAATCAGCTTGCCAGCAACATTGGATCCTGTAGGATGGTCTATGCAACCACTGAGTACTGATGGTCACAAACCACTGAACCTCAACGAGGAGTGCTGCGATTTGCGCCATTAGCTGGGGAGATCAGCAAAAATCTCTTCAGTAGGAATCAGGAAATTCTAGAGCATGACTCCAATAAGCGAGCTCCTAAATCACACTATTTTTCCCCTCCTACAGGCAGTACGTAACATTCTTCGAGTAGCAACTGTACAAATTGCTTATCTCAAACGCGGTACAGCCAATGATTATCTGAAGGCAGTAACATAAGTAATTTGATACACAAGGGTGATATATGTCAGTTTGTGTCCTCAAGGAGCAGTGGTGAGCTGTCTATGGGCAAGACGAATGCTTCACCACGCTTAATATCTCCATTTTCTGGTTAGTTAAACAGTCAGGAATTCCATTCCTGTCAAGAAGCGTGCTGGTTTTATAGTGACAAATAAACTTGTAGCAATTGAGTGAGCCAGCAGGAAATAACAACTTCACCTCCCCGTGTCACGCCGTTCCTGCTTGAGCAGCTCTCCTGTTGGCGTACTACTGCGGAAAGTTGCCTTGCAGTAAGCGCCATGCAGGCAACATACCGCTCTTTTTCTATCGCATTTTCCTTTTCGTTCCGCATATTTCGTTCTGCGGTTTGCCAGTTTTTCGGGCGGGCTCGCCTCCTGAGCTAAGGCAAGGAGGCAGTGTCAGCCACACCTTGTTATACCAAGAGAAGAAAGAAAACTCCTTCAGCACTCTCCGTGCTTTATAGTGTTGTGTACACGTTCTCCAGCAAGTGTCTGACAATAGCTGGTGCTTTCTAAATTTCTGGCGCGGGCAAGCAGCCTGCTGTCCCCAATGGGCCTCTGTTGCCAACCTTGGCGGTATTACACCTCAAACGCCTGAACGCGATGTGCTCTCTCTCACCACATGCATATCATAGTGTGCTAATTAGTGCAGAGTTGAACTAGAAAAGAATCCAGCATACTGTTGGGTGCCGGGAGAAGGCAATTGCCTGGCCGAATTTGGACGTCAACTGACTGTCCCTCACCACTGCCACGGCATTGCAGCTACTGGGCATAACGCAAGTCATCCAGGAAGCTCCCGTGTTGCAGGCGTCGCCCTTCATCATCTACATGTACAAACGTGCAGATATGCGCACTGCTCAAATGTAGAAGGACTTGGTACGTAACCGGTCACCTGGTTGGAGGGGAATACTTAGCGGGCTTTAGACAATGGCGAGGAGCCCATCATTGTCGCCATTCTGACGAGCATACGTGCACCGGAATGAGGTGCACCGGGTATTAGTGTGCTGGAGATGCTTTGCTGTAACTTACAAAGACACGTTGACAAATGTGGGACTTTTGTCTCCGTTAAACAACAAGAAAAATAGAGTGGCTCCGATAGGTGTGATTTTGCGGGAAAGACAACGAGTGCCGAAGCGAGAAACAGCCGCGGGCTCTATTTTTCACGCTCCACACAGCATTATAGTGGAGGCCCGAAATACTGATTGGGGCCATTTAGTTGGGAAGATGCGAATTGCCGCAAGAAGTAGAAGCGATTAACACGTAAGGGGACTTTCGCTCAGTGCGCCCTGAAGTTCAGCCCAGAATTGAGGGCTGACGAGAGGCGCTGAAGCTTTGATGCCCCTTACGAACACGCTGAGAAGGACAAACAGCAGAAGGATACCGTGTGCATCCCTCAAAATACGGACTAACGATGTCGTTGCTTGCTTCTTTTTCAGTGTCTGTCTCTACTCACCTTTGATAAGTAGTATTCAATATGAACCTATACAGCCAGAATGTGAGGGAAATGTTAGTGCCAAGCCAGGCATAGGTCACTACAATTTGCTGGCTGCCCCAGGAATGAATTCTCTAGCATCTCATTAGAACAAAACACGTGCGTAGTAGACGGGTTCCCAACCCATGGCCTTCTAGCACTTCAGCTTTCCAGAGCACACTATCCATGCACGTGAGGACCAGGTGCGTAATAGGTACGTTCGACAAGAGATGCTCCTGAATGCCCAAGTTTGCCAACCAAGTCAAACAGAAAAGCAGGAAGCTCCGAGACCCCAAATTCGAGCTCAATAAGGCACCAAAGACACCCTGAAAATGTGTGAGCTGAGTTGAGGAGACAACACCCAGAAGACCGTCCACAAATGGGCCAAGCCGGAGAGGTTGCCGGATTACGGCGAAAACGTGAGCCGCTGTGAATCTTCTTCCTCCAGTCGAGTGGCAGTTTTCAGTAGCACTACAGCCGCTGCCACATGACGGGGGCGGCAGCACGAGAGCACTCGTTAGTGCAACACCAACGGTGTTTACGAAGGTAGACCTAGATCAATGCTACTGCCCGAGGAAACAATAAGGAAACAACGGAGAAAATTAGAGCTCTACACGTTTAGTTGGCGACCCACGAGGGCCAACTGAACCCAGGTCAAACAAAGTTGACAAAAGACGTCGCGATTCGACGGACAAGAGGAGCGGCATGATGTGTAGAATGCAAGTGCAAACTACCCAGGAAAAACTGTGCTGCATGCCCATGGTGGAAAATCGCAGCATTCTCTTTAAAAAGCAACACAGAAATCTGCTCGAGGAAAGAAGAATAGGAGAATTCTGGTGTGCCCATTAATATCCAGACACTGACACTGGAGGCGCTGGGTGCCGCGGGAAACACCCCGAACAACGACAATGGGAAAATTCTCGCAGCAAGCATTGACTACTTGGGCGTCGCTTATGAAGACAGTGCAACGGGGAATGTCACCTATTTCGACTGATATCTCCAAGTGAGGACTCGGGTAGTATTGCCTGTGTGTAGACGAGCAGCATGAGCATGGCTTCGTAGACCAGCATGGGGCCACCTTTTGAAATTTAGCATATTAGCGCGGAAATCCGCGCAGCTCGGTCATTCTGTTTCGTGTCATTGAGCTGTCGGGACAGTGCAAGCAAAGAAGCAACTAAAGGAACATGCCATAGGAAGGCCTGATTGGTGCATGTAGACAATCGAAAAAAGCCCTGATCGCACTGACGACGCCGGCAATAAGCTCCACGGTGACTATAAGCATAGAGTATCATAGATTGGCCCCTAGGATGGTGCAGGTGGCGACAAGACTGGAGCGGCCGTTTCTGAGCATGCCAGGTGCCATCCTGCCGCGTCCAACGCACAATAGTGCCTACAAAAAACACGTGGACAAGGCCAGGGCCAGGTAGGGCAGCCAACCAAGGACCGAAACTTTATCCGATAACTATCGAGATAAGCGCTAGGGCTTCCGGAAATGCGTTGCACTCGCCAGGGAGACAGTGACCGCTGGGTGCACGAAGGCATTGAACTCTAAGGACTTGGGTCGTTGCCGATCGTTGGAACAGGGCGGGTTTTGGAGCTCGAAGGCACCAGAGCAGGCATGCTGTGTGTAGCTGAGGGATGTCCTGATTGCACATGTCAGCGCCTAGAATGCTGGCAGGGATAAAGCCAGTCACGATAACAATAGCACCAAGAGGATCATCCAGAGCGATAAGTGCCCTCAGGAGGATTTTTGCCGAAAGGACTGACTCCGCAGGCAACGCTTGGAATGCAGGCGCCGCTGGCCACGCAAGCGACGCAACTGCGGCTTTAGTTGAGACGGAAAATAGAGATTAACAGCATGTTTGATCCAGCATCATTGATCCAGCATCAACGGTGCTGGTAACGCGGGAGTCGATATCCACTTCAACTTCAGCTGCTTCTGGCGAAAAAGCGGAGGAGGGCTATCAAGGGCTCTACGATAACTCGTATGTAGACCCGCTGGGTAATGCACTGGTAGGAAGTTGACTATCCTAGGAAGGGCACCCTAGTATGTTCTCCCCAAGCTACTTCAGGCTCTTGACTCTTGTAAAACAAAATGCAAATGGCGCTACACCAGTGCTTGCTTGGCAGTCCACTGTCTTCAGAGAATGACCACCTCGCGTGAATTCACTAGTGCGCAACTCAAGGCCTTGCTTCGGGGGATTTGCCTACGTCCGAGGATAAGCCTAGAACACAGTTGCCATGAATAATTTCAGCAGCAACGTTCCCAGAAAATCTGTGTGGAACAGAAGATGGAGAGTAACTAGTAGCATGTATAAATATCTACAGGCATGCGCTTCTGTGCTGAGAGTCAGAAAGCTTAAACGATAATAATGGAGGAATTACTAAGTGCTTCCAGTGAGAGTTTCAAGTGCACAAACTACTCAGAAGTGAATGACTGCGAGCAGAAAATATACCGGAAAGGCAAGAGGCTAAAAGAGGGAAGAATCTACATTGAAAGCTAGAAAGGCTTTTGTGACTTTATCTAGCAAAGCTTAACTCAGCGTTTCCTGACTTGTTGTTGGCATTTCCTGTTGAAGGGACTGTGACTGAAAGTAGGTTCCTTCAGAGATGGAGCTACAAACCTGCGAGGAATTTTAGGAGTCTGCTGGCAGAAATTCAAGTGAGTGTTGCAGTTTCAATTAAAGACAAAATGCCTTGTACCATTCAACCAGTAAACTACAGTCCCAAGATTAAGAATTGAGCTAGAAGGCCACCTGCACCAGCATTGCCTCTTTACAGATGACCGTGTAGTGGCTAAGGATAAGTACAGATAGATAAGTGATGCTATCTAGCACCCATTCACAACTTCGCTACAAGTAGGCGCAGTCATAGTGTCCGGAGGAATTATCCAGTTCCATCGTAGGGCACGGCACGCATTCTGTTCCATTCACTAATCGAGATTAGGAAACTGTGTGATTTTTTAAAAATAACGCCGAGCAGCCCAGATTTTCAGTGGGTCGCACTGTGACTGCAGGCCCATCGTTGCTGAATGACCTACTGTGTCTGAACTACAAGCTGCGAGTTACTTTCATTTAAGCAGCACTGGACTATATTTGAAGGTCCAGATAAGCCAAGTACGTATCCACCAGTTATCGGGATGAATCATTAGGATTTCCGCTTAAGCAGCGTGCCATGCTCGGTTTACTCTTGGAGCTCGCAGTGTGAGGCATCCTAGTGCAATCCTCCAAGCTGCAACATTTATTATTCTCAGCCCCTTCCGGTTGCAAGATTTATTATTCTGCAGATGAAGCAGTATTAGATAGTTTTTATTTGGAGAAACCAGACTCTTGCCTCAGACCTTAGCATTGGCTGTTCCGCTGGAAGGCTAGGGATTGGGGCTCGCCCTGTCACGATGGAGCGTGCAGACATACAGATACAAAGGGACACCACAGGCTCTGGAGAAGCCACACCAAGAGTAGACTTGAATCGTTCGCTTTTAAAGGGTCTATTTGGGCTTCTGTAACTCTATTGGGTTCAAAGGTACCTATGTAGCGCAAAAGGAAAATCATGTTGGAGCGAGATGAGGCCGCAGCTCACTACAGAGCTCCTATGAACACAAAATTGCATGATTGCTGCCTGTCTCTTGTTCGGAATAGGGTGGAACAACTTCGTAACACTGAGAGCAATACTGTTTAGTTGTGTCTCAGTTTATTGCTTTGTTATAGTTTGTGACTTTTCGCATTGGGCCCCGCGCAGACTGGAGTGCCTACCAGTGGCTCACTCGGCGTTTGATTCACTCACGTAAGCTTTCGGATCTGCTTATTGTCATTCTGTGGCGTGCTCTGAAGAGCAATCTGAGGGCCAGATTTTCACCGTTTCCTTTTGACGCAGCAAGGCCTGGAAGCATTCCCTTGTGCATTGTCAGGGCTAACCAATATACACTCGTCCCATATATAAGGGAACCCATATCCTACTGGTGTCTGCCAGATGAAGACCTTCGGGGTAGCAAAGCTTCTCATTTTCTCTAGTCGCATAACTATGCTGGCCTAGTTTCCGTCGGTATTTTGCTGGGGAATCGGAAACACATCTAGATTGATTAGGACGAGTCGGTGCCGGCCACTTGCCCAACCTTTCATTGTACTGGAGTTTGGGTGCAACAACTGACATTTTTGCAGCGTCACTCTGGTTCTCTCTCGCGCGGAATTTAACACTGATCGAGGATCCAGGACCGTTCAGGCTTTTTGACAGTTCGGGTTGCTTCAAGCTGATAATGCGGAAGCTCGGCGAAGCCACCGAATTCGTCTACGGGTTGGGCATAAGCTCCCTGCAACCAGCAAACAGAGAGGGCTACAATGAAGACACGCCTTTGCGTTTTGTCAGTGTGCAGTTACAGCTCCCGGATTCGAGCAAGACTTTAGATGTTGGTCAGTGCACCATGCGGCTAGCCTTCCTGGCCCATTGGCAAAATTCAACTAAGCCCGGTCAATGTAACCTTAGCATTAGTTGCCACACACTCGGGACTTAAATGGAGAACTGTGGACACAGCAGGCTTCCTACGGCCTATGATAATTGGATGGCGCCTTAGCAGCCCCGAGGCAGGAAATTCTCTTGTCCTGTGGATGCTCCATGATGCAGACATCCACGCCTTCCTCTTCGAGCACGATGGAACGTACGTGGATTGTGTCTTTTACAAAAACCCCACGTTGGCTGGTAAAAGCGTCCGGCTTCTGCAACAGGAGCAGGAACTACTTGTGGACCTACGCTACATACCGCAGCGGTGTAGCTTCATCGTGTGTACTCTGGCGATATATACCGGCGGCACTGTTGCTCAACTAGCGGATGGCACTGTCCAGGTTAGTACTGCGGACGAGGAGACTCACTTGGGACAGTGGATACATTCGTGTCACTTTGTAACAGCAAACTTCGCCGTTGTTGCGCTTGAATTAGTGGCAGAGAAACAGGGGTTGACGCTGAAGAGTATTTGGGGACATTTAAGACCACCACATTGGAGGTTAAAGACATATGGGTGGAGCTTTGGGCCCATACTCACGTCCCGCTGCTAGCTGTATTGTGGCTTGTGTTGCAGCTGAGCGCCCTAGTCCCTCGTGCTGGGCTAGAGGAGGACACGGAATTTCCTCACCTTCCCTGTGGCCAGATTCCTCCGAGCTCGTCCGACTTCTATGAGTGGGTTTGCCTAGGAGTGCTCCCGCTGAAACCAAGAAGCAGTGACGGAGAGGAATGCGGCATGATGCTGTGCCTGCTCGCACAGCACGGCAGTTTCTGGTATTTTAAACCGGTTTTGAAGCCCGTCACAGCATTCACACCGCAAGGCCTTATTGAACCAGCACAGGTACAACGGTCTTCGACCAATGTTAGAGGGCCATTCACCTTAAATGACTCATACGCAGACTGCGTGAAACGAAATGTTCAGTCAGCACGCATAGTAGGTAGGGGCCGCTTGCGTTACGTGTTATTGTTGTGGTTCTTTAACTTCAGGATTTCGTCACAAAGCACCTTGCAGGACTGAACGGCAAATCCCGTGGGCTAGAGCTTGGCTCTTTGGTCAGGGCTGCTCTTGATGGCACACACGTAGAACTCGACCTGACGGATACAGAGGAGAGCGCAACAGTGAGTCTGTTTCTTGCCGTCAGGGAAACACTTCAGAAGCACTACGTTCCTTGGTTTCAGTGCTCAGGAGTTCAGTTCTTCTCGTGCTCGGTACTCAAAGAAGCAGCATAGAAGGCCAAGAAGTGCGTTGTTTCTGGGGTGTGCTTTCTCTTGCCTTGCACGTGTTTCAATTCCTTAGCCAGGAGCTATGGCACCAAGTTATAAGGAGGATGTTGAAGCTGCCGACTTGGCGGGAAGCCAGCAAGATAGCCAGAAATCTGAAGCCCTCTGGTAAGATGAGCTTTGTAGCTTTCCGCAGAAGGCGTTTCGGAAGTTTCTCAATATGGCATTTTCGTTACTAGGACGCGTGGCACTTTGGTTGCCACTGACACGTGAGTTCCTGTAGAGGTCATTCGGACGGCTTTCGGCTTCACCTGATGTGAACAACATGCGATTTTTTGTTGCAGTGCTACTGATGAAGAAGTGGCGGGAGATGTAGGTGGTAATGGCGAGCCAGCATGGAGTGGCAGCGAGCAGCAGCATGATGGCTTTGTTCCTGAAGAACAAGCGACTTACCGCACAGGGCGAGGTGGAATGCATGCAGGTGTGGATCCAGGGAAGGCCACTGGCGAACAGCAAACGCCAATATTGAAGGCTCCGAAGGGTTTTCCATGCAGCAGTGCTTCAGCTGAGAGCAAAAGGAAGATGGCCCCCCAGAAGCAAACAGGCGGCTACATGCCTAAAGATGGTGGCGGCACTGGCTTTGGAAATGTGGGACACCGTGAGCACTCCCTGCACCATGGTGTAGGCCATGGAAAAAGAGACACAAGTATGCAAAAGAACGTTCCGGACATTTTAATGAACAGGGAGAATCTTAGTGATACGGAAGGGAGCTACCGAAAAACAGCGCGGTCCATTGATAACTTGGTTCGTAGAGGTGCTACAGGGAGGGTCAGCCGCCCTAACAGGAAGTCAAAGGCCAGTGGTCGGTGGCCTCGTAGCAAGTAAGCCGGCGCTTAGCCCGCAATTGACGTCACCAACTTTGTCTAAGCATGCAGCGGCATCTGGGCAGTGTGAGCGCATTCGCTCCTGGAGTTTGGCGACAGTGTAGCTGCCAAGCGCGCGAAAGTTGTGCTGAGGAGCAGTTTTGTGTGCTATGCGATCCTTGCAGCGAAGCTGTTAATGGAGAGCCTTTGTTTACATCGTTCCCTCTCCCAAATGGGTACAGATATGAGCAATCTGATGAGGCAAGCTCAGAGCACATGGCGAATGGAGCTGGTGGGGACGATTCGTGGAAGTATTCTGTCGAAAGGCGCTTAAGTGCATTGGAACACTCCGTAGAGGACATACAAAGTGACATTCAGACCATAGCCGCGGCAGCGTCTGAAATGCAGAAGAACACTAAGGTTTACCTCCAGGAACTTCGCGAGAAGTTTACGGAGCTGAAGGTACGCATCACCCACAAAGTGGCATCTTAGGCCATTGTCAACGTATATAGCGCCATTGGCTGCATAGGATTATAATGTGTTTATGTTCATCACCCCGAGTTATGTGTGTATGCGGGGAACGGCTTTTGAATGGCTTGTATGCAACGTGGGTACCTTTTTGTCTTCAGAGCGACGTAGCTTCAGACCTCGAGTCTGCGCTGTCGGGCCCTCTAAAAGCTCTTAGCACGAGAGTAAATGACATCACCAGTGTAGGAACTGATGCGGGGCAATTTGCAGAGCAAACGAAGAAGCTTTGGGCAGTAGATCGAATGGTCCTTCTTGCCGAAAGGAACTGGCACCTGCTAGCTCAATCCATGTCAGAGGTAAGTAGTGTGTAGATAGGTCTGTGTGCGTGCCTTGGAGCTTGAACTAGCTAGTACTAGCAGCACAGCTATGGTTCTTATTCCCGGCGTGCGTTGGAAACATTGATTGCAGCTTCGCTTCCAGTTATCGGGACTTGAGCAACGCATTGCGCAAGGAGCACCTTCAGGAGATCCCACTGAGCCTCCGACTGACGGCCAAAAGGTTTGGCTAATTAGCAAAACAATAAAGTTGTATTTCATAGAAATTTGCACTTCGTTGGGATTATTTTGAGAGTCCCGAGGTGTAACTAAGGGCATCCCGCTGCTGTATGGGGTCTACGTGAGGCTGTTCGATGTTGCACTCAGGGGCTTCCAGTATCGCTGCATTCGTGCTCCCCTTCAAGTGCTCCTCGATCGCAAGATTCAAAACTCAACGAAGCACAGACTTGCATTCTAGAGGGAGAGGTGAGCGTGGCGGGGAACCAGCGGCAAAGCACATTTGCATCGAAGGCTCTGAAGGAACTCAGCCACATGCAGATCCACGCGGAAGCATTTGGCGCTTGTTTACGGCAGCTGGCGAGTGGTACCGCCCCCGATGGTTTAAAGGGGCTTGATCCGGTTGAACGCCGAGTTCTTTCTTTTGCGGGGACTCCGAAAGTATTTGCGGCATTACACGAATTGGAGAGAGCTCTAGACACTGTCAATCTGTGTAGCTCAGGGGTTGCCGGCACGCGGTTATACTGAGTGCCACGATAACGCAAACTTCATCTTGCACAGACTGCAAGCGCCAACGTGGAGTTGGCGCTTGCAGTTTGTACAGGCTCTCAGCTACGCAGGGGCCGAAGACTCCTAAAACTGACGCGATGCATCGTTTGCTGCTTGCTATTAATTTTTACAGAATGCCATCTCTGAATATGCTGTTGCACACGCACTCAGTAGGATATTTACTAGCAGGTGAGCCCCAAAACCCGCATTCCAAGTAGCAGGAACTGCATAGTTCTCGTTTAACCGTTCTGTTCCATGAACGAGGACCACGGAAATTAACCTTGGTGTTAGGGGACAAGGCCAAGATACAGCCATGGTGTGGTTCTAGTTGGGGTTGCGCTATAATGAGCTCCGCAGGTCTGGCTTCTTTGAAATTCATGTTACTCAGCTATAGTCAGTACAAGAAATGTACGATGTTGTTACCTGTTCGGCCCATGGACGTAAGACACTCTGGAACAGTCTTCGCTTCAGTCCTTTTGCGTGGGTGAACCTACGCGGGATTTCGAGTTCCGCAGCACTAACCTGTAGCCCAACTTGAAGAATTATACGGGGAACGCTTCTCATCTCGAGAGCTACACACCACTGACGCAGCCGCTGAGGTTGCGACTAAGCCGTATCGGCAGCAACAAAGCTGCGGCTGGGCAACTAGCTATTCTAATCCCACGAGCTCTTGCTAGTTCTTGCTAGTTCGTCTTGGACACCTATATTTAAAAGGTGACGACGAAGAGAATACGTCCCCGTGAAGCATTAAGAGTTGGAAAACCTGCACACGGTAAGTATTTAAAAAGTCGACTTTCACGGCATAACTCAGGCAGGAAAACTTTAAAACTGCTGGCAGTTTACACCGTGGGAGTAGCTTCCCCACATTTTGCTTGTATAGGTAGGCTGTTTGGTGCATTCGCATTATTGCGATGGCACCCAATCAACCGACGGCATCTTCGACATCGAGAGGCGGTGCTGTGGCGAATTCTTCACACGCTGGCCTGTAGGTACGGTAGAAGTATGTTTACTTAGCATAGCGCCTCTGCCCCTACAGATTGCCCGCAGGAAAGCCAGTGCCCACGCAACCACTTTACAGACGAGTAGAATAATGCCAATGATGACGATACTCACTAGGCCGAGAGCAAGCAAAGATGCAATTAGTATGCAGAGGTGACACAAATACATGCGACTTTCCGTGGGACCTCTCCAGCCTTGACAGGTCCACTGACCAATACCGCCGTGACGCTCTCGCTGTTTTGAAGCAAATGAAGACAGGAGCTTCTCCTTCGCAAGATGCCCTGTGACCGCGTCAAAAGTCCGTGAAAGGATCCATGTCTTCGTCTCCAGCAGTTCCACAAGCATCCAGCTGTCGGCTACTGCACGGGCCCCTCGGTCAGTGACAGATATTCCTTCCTCTAGCGGAGGAAGGGAAGCTTTTCCCGCACTTGGCTGACGATGAACTGCGGGTATATCCACAACGGTGCATACCAAATGAAGATCTGCATCGAGATCTGCGAAGGCGCCTGAGTCAGCAGGCTGGCTTGCCACTCCCCGATGAAATAACTCATTTATCTCTTCACGCTGTTGTTGTCGTCGCGGGCTTTGTAGTTGCATGCACGCCCGTCGTAATAGTCCATCACTTGCTGCAGAGAACAGCCCGTGAACGAGCAGCCGATGCATCACTTTGCCCTCCTTCGACGTCAATGAGTGAGACTTCTTTACCGCAAGAAACCGTGTGTGAATGATTTTATGCGGCAGTAATCGCCTTGAAGCTGCTGCACTGGCTAGCCTAGCAGCGCGCAACTTTGCAGACATGCGTGCTAGCTGATCTGTTGCAGCACTGAGGCGCAGAACTGCAGCATCACCAAAGGGAAGGCTATTTCTATACGCTTTTCGGCGGGAATCCAATTCGAATATCTTGTCCCACAGCCAACGAAAAACTGAATCAACGAGGGACTTCGACTTCGGCACGCCTGAAACAGCACTCCACGGAGTAAGCAGGCTGCATGAACCGAATAACTTATTCCTTGTACGCGTTAAGTTGATATCCACGCCGTCTGACCCCTCATCTTCACAAGCGTGGCTCACGAGCAGCGCTGAGTGGAGCTGTAACAACCGCGAAAACAATATAGCATTATCGCCGAGTGCGGACCACGTGTAAGTCTCAAAGTCATGTGACAGATCCATGAGACGCTCCAAAACTGTCGCGCGCTCATAAAGCTTCGTTTGCAGCTCATTTACCAGGCGCTTGCGCTGCTCCTTATATTTCTGAAGTTTGTCTTGGAACTTGACCGAAAGGCTCCGGGTCAATTTACGATGCAAGTTTAGTGGTCGTTTCTGCTGCCGCCGATGATGAATGTCACGCAGTGTTTCACTTTTCTCCCTCACACGAAGAAGCTGAACAGTCGACCCAGGGCCTCCTCCCGAGCTCTGCAAAGCAACATCTTGCTGTGACGCTGCACTTTCGTCCACAGAAGGAAACAAAACAATGTGCAGCGGGTTTTCGATGAATTCAAGCTCTCCGAAATTGCGTTCCGTGTAGAGCAAACGAGGCCCTGAAGCAAAAACTCAGCGGCTTCGGAAAGACCAATGAAGGAAGGAACAAATACCAAACCATGCTTGTCGTCATCCTGTAATGTATAGAGCTTTGGAGGGGAGTCCAGTACCTGTATTGTCTGAATTGAGAGAAGACGCAAATGGAAGCCCTTCAGTCAGGAAATAGGTAGCTAGTTCTACCATTGCTGGAGTAGCTCGGCACATTGACTCAGGCACGCCATGCCCCAGTCCGCTGCTAGTCATATCAAAGAGATACACACTTGATTGGTCTTCGCTGAGCCACCCATCCTGCTCCACTTCATCAGGAGCAAATGGCGGCGCCGGGAATGCCCCAGAAAAGGCAGGCGCCCGTGGGCGCCTCCATTCTTGCCTTGGAGCAAACACATTTGGCTTTGTTGCAACACGGAAAAGGGCTAACAAGAAAAATGGGAGGTGGCGAGGAATCCACCGGAAGAGAGGTGATTCGGTGTGCAATGGAATACAGCATTGCAGTGAAGGGTCGCAGCCACTGCTCGTTTTGTGGCCTTCAGCTTGTTCTTGCTTCAGAACCATATTCAGCTCATCGCCATCAGAGTCAGCCAGTCGCCGTAGTTGCTGGAGGGGAGTTGGATTCCCAGTTGTAAGATTGTGGAATGCAGTCAAAAAGCTTCTGGCTTCTGGCTCGTTAAGACACCAGTTTTCGGGGAGGCGCTGGCAATGTACAGCTGAAACAGATGGCTCAGGAGATTCGCCAACACTCCCCTAACATTCCAAGAATCTGCCGATCGTACTAACTGACAGAAGTCGTACTCTGGCCAGTAAACACGAGCGTACGTATAAGCACCTATTACAAGCTGCCCATCTTTGAAAGACGTACCTGCAAACTCCGCATAGTGCGTGTCCCCTGAGAGGATAATCGGTGTTTTAGCAGCAGAGCCTGCTAGAAGCGCAAAAAGCCGCTCTCGAGCCCAAGGGAAGTGACTCCAGGTCTCTGTTACTAATCTTACGCATGCATACACAGACAGAATGGGATGTTTGGATGCCCACGTGTTTGTGTCTGCCAGTCCGCAAATAAGTTTAGCAAGGAAATGCTCCAGAAAAGCCAGCACTTTAAGCACACAAGGCCAAAGCAAGAAACCTGACAGTTCCACTTCAGTTAAACCGATACAAGCACGCAAAATTGGTGGGTCTTGCGAACCAAATTGCCCAAAACTGCCCGACGGGCAAACCAACGAATTATGCGGTGCACGTAGAGCAGGGGTGTGCCTACAGGCAAGCTGTTTCTATCCAGAAGCTAGGCATTTTATTTCTCTTGCCTGTGGTTAGCAAACGCCTGCAGGGATGAGACTATTACATTGACATCTGCCGTCGACATTTGGAGCTCCTGCTGTAGCCATGCCCACTGCTGCTCTCCCAGCATGTCGCCAAGATCCATGAGCCACCAGCTATCTTTTTCAAAGCTGTACATTTCCATACATCGCAAGACTTCATGTGCGGCTTCAACATGCCTCGTCGAGCAACAGAGGTTCACAGCGCAGAATGTTTGCAGTGTCCTTGTCATCTAAAACTTCTGCCCACCCTGATGGACGCACCGCAGGTCAAGAAAAATCAATTTAACAGTCAAATCTTCCCCCAGGTAGATTTGGTGAGATGAATACACGCCTCTCCATTCTAGCGAGCGAATGGCCTCAGATCTGCTTACGCCCAAGAAGTCGAGCATGGCTTCCTTCGACTCTACAGCACAAAACGAGATATAACTCAACCGCAACCCGAATTCTGTAGTCGAAGAACACTGCTTTTAGGACCTGCGGAGACTTGTGGCTGAGTAGAGGTTAGGTCACCGTGCAAAAGAGATTGACTACGCACTGGATGCACACCATATTTGAAAGAGTACATCTTGTTGGCATTGTCTTCACCCATATCATGGTCATCCCAAGTCCCTACAACAGCAGGTACTCTCTTCAAGAATTCCTAAGAATGACACGTAAGCAGTAACATATAACAAACGACTGCGGATAAGTAAGTCGACGTTCTGTTAGAACAGTGCCAGTAGCCCCAAATCAGTAACGCCTGACAAGGTCTGCACACTTCTTTCGTCTGACCCTATATTCGTTATTGGCAAGTTGACTATTGTATGCTGCGATGAGGCCCGGTGGCGGGATTGGTTTCTTCCCCTCCGAAAGCTTCCACAAAAAATTCCTCGAATCTTTTGCAGTTGGAAGCTGCATGTGATCCGCTGCAGATATCGTTCGTAAAGGGCACACGAATCAATAAGTCGGAAACTTATAGAGTGTTTGGCATGAGCAGTGCATGCATGGCATGGTTGGTAGCTGGTCTTCATCATCTGGTCTTCATTAGAAAGTCAAAACAGGGCACTGTTACCATATACATTGTCCCCCATCCAAAGAAAAGCCCGAGGCTTTCGGCGGCTGATGTATTTCCAGACACGCCGCCCTTCCAAA